GAAAACCCAGGCCAGGAAGCTTTCCCAAGCCTGCTTGTCACCTGCCGCCAGTCACATTACCGATTTATTTGCCTTTCTCTCGCACTAGCCTATAGGTTCTTCGGGTAGGAGCAAGTCTTATTCCTTTTCGCACCTCAGCGTCCACCTCAATGCCTGGCACATAATGGACAGCTAAAACATGGTTATTGAATAAAACTCAGAAAGGTAAACAGGACAAAAAAAAGGGAGGTTGCGTTTCTGGCTGGATGTGGGGGCTCATGCCTGTGATCTCAACACTTTGGGAGGCCGAGGTGGGTGATCACTTGAGATCAGGAGTTTGAGATTAGCCTGGCCAACCCTGTGTCTATTAATAATCAAAAAAAAAAATTAGCCAGGTATAGGGGTGCACACCTGTAACCCCAGCTACTCGGGAGGCTGAGGTACAAGAATCACTTGAACATGGGAGGCAGAGGTTGCAGTGAGCTGAGATCGTGCCATTGCACTCTAGCCTGTGTGACAGAGTAAAACTGTGTATCAAAAAAAAAAAAAAAAAAAAAAAAAAGGGTTTGCATTTCCACAGGAGAAATGAGAACAAATGGTGAGGAACAGAGTTACCCCATGGGTAGATACCCGAAAAGGATTCTGGTCCTAGAAAAACCATGATTGTAGCATACAATAATTAGAAGGGCATTGGGAAGGGTGGTGTAGTCTGGATGGAATCTCTTTCTCTTGCATCATCTTCTGTTTCTCTCTTCCTGAAAAGTCTGCCTCACATTCTACCAGTACCAATGTATCTGGGGTTGGTGCCATCAGGTGACTTAAGGTCAAAGTTTTCATTGTCCTGATTCCATGTCCTTAATGACGTGTGTAGGTTGCATCCTCTCATGAGAAGGGACCAAGTCTCTGGAGAAGAGGTGGGCCAGGATTCTGTATCCAGAGAGCCTAAGTCTATTTGGAGCCAGGGAAGGCCCCAGAAAGGAAGTAGCAGTTTGACTGAGGCTTAAAAAATGAGTAGGAGTTGATGACGCTCATAGGGAAGCCCGAAGACTTCCATCATCTGCAGGGACTGTGGACTTGAGCTGAAAAGCACCCACTGATCTTTTTTTTTTTTTTTTCATTTTGAAATAAAATCCTTTATGGAATCACCCACTTTAAATGAGGGCAGGATGGCTGTCCAGAGAATCAGGATGAATAACGGGAGAAATAGAGTTTGCACTGAATATTTAACGGACTGTGTTCATGTTGTACATTTAATAGACCTTGGGAGTACATCTGGTGGAATTATATGTCTATTTTAAGTTGAGACACTTGATCGAGAACTCCCTATGCAGCCACGCTGGTATTTTTTGGGTCACTGTTATAAGGAGCCAAGCGGCTGAGTATAGGGGGCCTGGAATCAGGTTGCCTGAGCTTACTTTTCACATCTGCTTCGTAGCAGTGATAGGACCTTGGGCGAGTTACTGTCATCTCCATGCCTCAGTTGAAGGATGTGTACAATGAGAAGAAGAATAGTGTCTCTGCTATGGTTTGAATGTGTCCCCCAAAGTTTACATGCAGGAAACTTCATTCCCAATGCAACTGTGTTGAGCAGTAGGATCTTTGAGCGGTGCTTAGGTCACGAGGGCACTGCTCTCATGAATGGATGAAGGACGTTCTCACGGGAGCAGGTTTGTTAGGGCAGGAGTAGATTCCTGATAAAAGGATGAATTCAGCCTCCTTTCTCTCTCTCACCATCCTAGTCTTAGGTATTCTGTTATACCAGCATAAAATGGACTAAGGCATTATTTCTCAGCAAATCATAGGGATAAGTGAGTTAATATATATGAAGCCCCTAGAACAGCAGCCAGCATTATGACAAACGCTGTCAGGGATTATTCCAACTTCATTTCTCGTGAGATTGTTTGCAATCGTCAGTCATGCACTTTGTGCATAATACCACGATAGCGGCTGTATGATTTTAATTATTTATTTGTGTGTGGTTTCTCACTGGGCTGTGAATTCCTCAAATGCATTACTTGCATAAATGTTTCTTTTCAAGGTAATTGAATTCGTGCTTTCAAGCATATTTCCTGCTTACTACATTTATATATTGGTGACCTAAGAGAAGATCTTCTCTTAGGATTTTGATTGGAAAACATTGTTGTTTGGAAATTCCTTTTCCAAACCAGAATATCCTTGGACACAGAAGCATTATCTTGTCTGTAAACCCATGCTGGCCCCTTGAGACTGCTGCTGGGAAGCTTGCTTTATGGGGGTTTTGTCCTGTTCAAAAGGTTTAAAGAGCCCAGAGAAACAAGAAACCTCTGAACACTGTCAGTTTGGCTAGAAAGTTTTTAGCAGAGCCTTGTTGCAAAACTTTTAGCCTCAGCAAAGAAAAGTCTGCTGAAGAGCCTTAACTGCTGAGAAATGGGAACATGAAGCCAAGTGAAGTTAAGACATCGTACACATGTAGAAGCTGGCCCAGCGGCCCTGTGTGCTTGTGCTGGTTGAGTTTGAGGGGAAAGGGCATGGAAGAGATCTTTCTTTCTTCTTTTCTTTATTTCTTCTTTCTTTCTCTTTCTTTTTTCTCTTTCTCTTTCTTCTTTCTCTTTTTCTTTCCTTCTTTCCTTCTTCTTCCCTCCCTCCCTCCCTCCCCTCCCCTCTCCTCCTCTCCTGTCCCCTCTTTTCTGAGACAGAGTTTTGCTTTTGTTGCCCAAGCTGGAGTGCAGTCGCATGATCTTGGCTCACTGCAACTTCCACCTCCCGGGTTCAAGCGATTCTCCTGCCTCAGCCTTCCGAGTAGCTGGGATTACAGGCATGTGCCACCACTCCTGGCTAATTCTGTATTTTTAGGAGCTTCTTCCATATTGCTCAGGGTGGTCTTGAACTCCTGACCTCAGGTGATCTGCCCACCTCAGCCTCCCACAATGCTGGGATTATAGGCCCGAGCCACCACTCCCAGCTGGAAGAGATTTTTCTATTTTTTTTTTTTAATGTTTCAACAGCAGTAATGTCAGAGATTTTTCTATTAAGACCACTGAATGAAAGATGGAGTTGTCTTAGGAGACTGGGTCCAGAGTCTGCAGGAATGAAGACTGGGTGCAAATCGCTCTCCAAGGCCAGACCACAGCCCGGGAGTGGGCAGGACCCAGGCAGGTGGCGACGGGGAGGGCCTAGGGTCACAGGAGCCAATAGGTGAGCAGACAGATCCAAATTCTGGTTCTGTACCTCCATATCTGTACAAACTTCTTGTGGCCTGGCTTTCCTCTTTTGCAGTTTGAGGGATTGACATGGATTGTCTCTAAGGCTCTGTTTCTAGTGTTAAGCTCTTAGCCCTGCTTCAGCAGCATTAGGCAGTTTAGGTTGTGGGCGGTGACAGTCATATCCAAGCCTCTCACTCATCCAACATCCCCCAGAACTTTTACCTCCAAACTGCTCTGTGCAAACTCTGATTCGACCTCACCCCACTCCCCACCCTGCCTCCGCCGTGGGACTCAGGGAGCTCCTCTCTGGTGTCAGCAAGCTCCCGGAAGCCTCAGCCCCTTCAGCTTCCTGCCCTGCTGATTTGAAACCAGGGTGTCTCTTGCAAATTCCCAAGTGGAGGCTGTTGGTTTTCTCTCACCCCATGTATTTTGGGTCTGGAATGGGGATAGGGCTGCCCTTCGCTCCACTGCCCCTTCCTCTGTGTCCCCTTCTTTCCTCCTTCGAAGTCCCAGCTCCCTTGAAGATCTCGCCTCAGACTGTATTCAGCCCCTCAAGCCCATCACTGCTGCCTCCTACCAATTTCTGGGTCACTTCCTCTCATTTGCTGCAGGTGCCAGAGCCTGGCTATATTCTCTCCATCCCCACTCCTGTCAGTCCTTGTTGACTCAAACATCCATGCAGACAATTCTGATGACACCATAGCCCATGCAGACAATTTTTTTTTTTTTTTTTTTGAGATGGAGTTTCACTCTTGTTGCCCAGGCTGGAGTGCAGTGGTGCCATCCCGGCTCACTGCAACCTCCACGCCCCGGATTCAAGTGGTTCTCTTGCCTCAGCCTCCCAAGTAGCTGGGATTACAGGCGCCTGCCACCACACTAGGCTAATTTTTGTATTTTTATAGAGACAGGGTTTCGCCATGTTGGCCAGGCTGGTCTTTAACTCCTGACTTCAGATCATCTACCCTCCTCGGCCTCCCAGAGTGCTAGGATTATAGGCATGAGCCACTGCGCCCAGCAGCCCATGCAGACAATTTTGACGACACCATAGCCTTTGAGTGTCTCCGCCGTCTCACTCCCTCTGATCCCTTCCTCCCCACTTCCCACAGCACACATACAGTATGTGTTGACAAGGTGTAGACAATGGACTCCTTGGAAGAGCTTCCAGTTATCTTCAAAATTATAATGGCTATAACTAGGGTGACCACGTCATTTATTTCCCAAACTGGGACAGGTTTGTGAGTGAAAGAGGACACCAAAATGATTAAAATTATATTACTTTTGGAAATATTTACTTAGTAATGACAAATTGGTTTTTATATCAAGGCCCCTACAAAATAACTAGGTTCAAAACCATTTTCCAAAATAAAATATTTCTTTAATAAATCAAACTAACTTATATGTGTACACTGAAGCAATGTTGAAAAACTCCTTTATGGGGTTTATCTTCACATGCAAAAACATAGACAGAATAATTATTCCTAGTCCTTATCTAAGTTTTTTGTTTTTTGTTTTTTTTTTTTTTTGAGACGGAGTTTCGCTCTTGTTGCCCAGGCTGGAGTGCAATGGCGCGATCTCGGCTCACCGCAACCTCCGCCTCCTGGGTTCAGGCAATTCTCCTGCCTCAGCCTCCTGAGTAGCTGGGATTACAGGCACGTGCGACTATGCCCAGCTAATTTTTTGTATTTTTAGTAAAGATGGGGTTTCACCATGTTGACCAGGATGGTCTCGATTTCTCGACCTCATGATCCAGCCGCCTCGGCCTCCCAAAGTGCTGGGATTACAGGCTTGAGCCACCGCGCCCCCCTCCCTTATCTAAGTTTTTAAGTTAGCTTCTTTTTTTTTTTTTTTTTTTTTTTTGAGAAAACCATTTTTATTATCATCACCACCCAGCTTATCTGTGCTGGATTATGAGCCAAATGGCCAGATCTTCTAAAGAATGTCTACATAACATTTCTTTCATGTTTCAAGAGATGAAAATAACTGTACAAGGTTAAGTACAAAAGTACACAAGACAGCAGACACGAAAAAAATCCATGTATGAGATTTTATCCCCACCTGCAGCTTTTATATTTGAAAAGTAGAATTCATGAACTAAAAAATATTGTCCTTCTATAGTCCTGTCAAGTTTAATGGAAGTGGGTTTAACCTGATTACAACACTAACACCAGTATCACTGATCTGATATTTACAAAAATTCGGATTTTTCAATAAATTAAAGTCAATGCAACACCCATGCAAGCTAGAATGCTAGCTGTTTGGTGAACAAGGACCTGACATCAGAACAAGAAGTCTATAAAGTCCCAAACTACAGGTGTGATCTTTTTCAAACTGCATCCATTCCTCGCATTGAAGATGTGAAACCCAAACCCATTCCTCTTTGTGTGTGGGTTTGTGATCTTGCCATTTCATACTGAGCATCTAGATTTCTAAATACTTCTTCCTGTTGCTTGAGAGTCTTGTAACTTTCTTCATCAACTGAGCTACAACCAGCTTCATCTTCACTCTTAATACCTATCAATTTCCTAAATTTCACATTTTGGTCCTTGTTTCCAAAATTCAATTTTTCCCATATTTCAGCAGACTGGGATTTGTCCCCTTCTTTCTTGCCCTGCCAAAGCATTTTCCTTTTTTTCTCTTGTTCAGCAAATTTCATTGGATTTACAGCGGTTGGGTTATAGTAGCTAGGTACAGCGATTCCCGTCTCTGCCAAAGCTTTAGCTTGCAGGACTGCCATCTGAGCTGCCATGGCTATCTGAGGTGTTACTTGCGTTCCTGATGCCAAGAGGGCAGCAACATTGAGAACAGAACCTCCAGTAGCTGCAGCCGCAGCTATTTCTTGTTGTTTTTGTTTTTCAACCATTTCCTTTTCTCGCTGTTCTTGTAATTTCTTCGCCCTTTCCAACCTCCTAGCTAAAGCTTCTTGGGCATCCATTGCTGTGTTTCTGCCTCTGAAGGGAGGTGGACTTGGAGTCCGGCTTAAACTTCTGCTAAATCTTCTCAGCTTTTCAATTCTCTTCTTTCTATCTCGACTCCTACTCCTTGTCCTACTCCTGCTTCTAGTCCTATGCCTGTGTCTTGATCTTGAGCGAGAACGAGACCTGATGGGCCGTTTTCTTTCCCTGCTTCTGGATCTTGATTTCTTCCTTTCTCTGCTCCTGGATCGAGATTTCTTCCGCTCCCGGCTTCTACTACGATGGCGTCTTTCACGAGACCTAGATCTTGAGTGACTTCTGCTCTTGATGACTTTCTTTCTTTACGTTTGTGCCTGTCCTCACCATTTTCAGATGAATTCAGTCGCTCTCTTCCTTTATCAGAAGGATGTTCTTTGTCATTATGTTCCTCAGACTTGTATTTCTTAGAGGATTTATCTTTGGATTCATGTCTTCTTGCCTTATCATGAAGTAGGCTTATTATTTTGCTATCTGAGTCTGCAGCGTCTTCAGTTCAGTCTCTTCGCGCATTAGCACGCTCTTTGCTTCTGCTCCGGCTCCTGTGTTTTCTTCCTTCATTATCGCCATAGTTCAGAGTCCCGGCCGCTAGAGCGGCGCCTACACTTGCCGCTTTCAACAGTACTGTCCGCTCGGAAGCTTCGCCTCAGACTTTTTTTTTTTTTTTGAGATGGAGTCTCAAACTCATTCTGTCCCCTAGACTGGAGTGCAGTGGCACCATCTCGGCTCATGCAACCTCTGCCTCTTGGGTTCAAGCGAGTCTCCTGCCTCAGCCTCCCAAGTGGCTGGGACCACAGGCATGCACCACCATGCCCAGCTAATTTTGTGTTTTGAGTAGACATGGGGTTTCACTATGTTGGTCAGGCTGGTCTTGAATTCCTGACCTTAGGTGATCCACCTGCCTCGGCCTCCCAAAGTGCTGGAATTATAGGCGTGAGCCATCGTGCCCAGCCTAAATTAGCTTCTTAGCTGAGTCTGGCATGAATAGAGTGCCACTGGTATCTTTCTGAAGAATTTTCTTTTAAAAAACGGATTTATATTTTGAAGTTTTTGGACAAAATTGTAATTGCATTCAAAGTAAATTTTATGGCAAATAAATCTGAAACTGTTGACACCTTTAATTGATTTTTCTCTGTAGATCACAGTATTTTCAACTGACAATATATTCTCTTCAGGTATTAAGAATTCGGTGAGCTCAGTGCAAATTCTGCTAACTGCATGATATCCTCGATTCTAATTTTTAATGTAAATATTTTGTCCCCTGTATTGACACAATTCCTTTGTTTCTGCCCCATTCACAGTAGTATTAATCAAAACATACTTTTATAAAACATAACCTATCGATTACGTCATCTCCATTTATGATTCTTTTGAACATTTCCCTATTACACATATATTTCACATGCTGATAGGTGAGTCTTTGGAGAAGTTGGAAGTAAAAAGTGAAGTGCAAGCAAACTCATCCCAGGTTATTTCAATGCAGCTATCAATAATAGTTGGTTAACAAATGAAAAATCTGGTCAGGTGCGGTGGCTCACACCTGTAATCCCAGCACTTTGGGAGGCTGAGGCAGGCAGATCATGAGGTCAGGAGCTCGAGACCAGCCTGACCAATATGGTGAAACCCCGCCTCTACTAAAAAAAAAAAAAAAAAAAGAAAGAAAAATTAGCAGGGCATGGTGGGGCACACCTGTAATCCCAGCTACTCAGGAGGCTGAGGCAGGAGAATCACTGGAACTCAGGAGGCTGAGGTATCTTGCAGTGAGCCGAGATCCTGCCACTGCATTCCAGCCTGGGCAACAGAGTGAGACTCTGTCTCAAAAAAAAAAAATAAATAAAAATAAATAAAGAAAGAAAGAAAGAAAAAGAAGTAAAGAAAAATCCAAGAAATGCTGAACTGGATGGATCCAGGACAGCAGGCAGAAATGGGGCCTTTTTGAGGAAATGTAACACTAACTCCTCAGGGGTAGCTCAGTGCTTCTAGGTCGTGGCAGCAGATACAAATCACCAGAGAGCTCTTAAAACATGCCAATGTTCAAGCTCCAATCTCAGGTACTCAGATTTCACGGGTACTGGGCGGGGCCTGGGAACCAGCACTGCAGCCTCCTGATTCCAACGTGCAGCCTACTGCACCACTTTTTTTTTTTTTTTGACAGTCTTGCTCTGACAGCCAGGCTGGAGTGCAGTGGCACAATCTTGGCTCAGTGCAACCTTCGCCTCCCAGGTTGAAGCGATTCTCCTGTTTTAGCCTCCTGAGTAGCCAAGGCTACAGGCTGGGCAACCATGCGCAGCTAATTTTTGTATTTTCAGTAAATATGGGGTTTTGCCATTTGGCCAGGCTGGTCTTGAACTCCTGACCTCAGGTGATCCACCTGCCTCAGCCTCCCAAAGTGCTGGGGTTACAGGCATGAGCCCCCACGCCTGGTGTACTGCTCCACTTTTAGGCAAGATCAGCATGTTCCTCCAGAGTTGGCTGTTCCTAAAGCATCATGTGGCAGGTATTCATTGGCTCAGACCTCAGCGAGGGACGCACATCAGGAGAAGCAAAGCCACTGCCCATGATCTCTGCATCTCTGCAGGTGCGCTGTCACATCAGGCCAGGTGTGAGCCCACAGAAGTTGCTCTGGGAACTGAGGAAAGCAAACGGTGGCCCGGCCACGAACCCTGTGTACACATGACACAGTCAGAAAGATTGCATGTCATCCTTTTAAACATTTAATTAAGTAATTCCTACATCGTCATGACAAAAATGAAACTTGCTGAGAGTTACAGAGTTCTGATGAGAAATCAACACTTAAAAATCTCACAAAAGCTCTACGTGAGCCTGTCATAGGGCTGCACTGTATTCTGAACATTTATTTAGAAAACAATTGTCAAAATGTAAAATCCCCAGTGCCCTCAACCTGATGTAGCATTTCAGCTTATTCTATGAATTTGTGATCTTCTTCATCACTCCAGGTTTTGGAGTATGAAAAAGCTGATGGCAAAGAATAACAACAGGGGATCTGTTTCCCCAAGCCCTTCCCATGCCTGGATGCCCTGTGCATGCCCCCTCAAGCGCTGGGGGTGCCCAAAGAGTCAGTCAGTAAAGCAGCACTTGTTGGCGCTCTGCCTACTCTGAATTCAGTTCCGAGGCTGTGAGTTGAACTCTGTACAAATGTTCTGGATGACCCTGGGGACATATTGGTAAAGGTTGTCAAACTCGTCCACAAAGAAGGAATGGTCCCTGGCGGGGTGAGTGGCAATGACTTCTAGCTCTTCCTGTGCGGCCCAAGCAACGCCTATTGCATAGGTGATCACTCCTGTGGGGACAAAGATTAGACAAATGAATGTCCCCAAGAAAAGGAACTTCCAAAGAATCTCTTTCTTGTTGTTGCTCTGTTGGCACAGCCAAATCCAAAATCAGAAACGTGCCCAAACCAAACCAAACTAAACCAAAAAACCCCTACTGACCTCTAGTTTTCCAGAATTAAGACTAAGTATGGCCATTCATTCCTTCACTCAATAACTGCTTTTGAGCATACACTAAATGCTAACAATAACAATATTTATATAGTCGTTATCTCAGGAGTTTACAGTCTTTTAGAAGAAAAAATGAACAAAATGGAGTAAATCACATGGTAAGAATTTTGTGTTCAGGAATAAAAGAGGGGAAGATATTTTAGGGCAAGTGAAAGTTTTGGGGCCATGCAGACACTTAACACACGCTTGATACCAGTGTGGAGAGCTGAACAGAGCCTTAAATGCATCAAAAGCTGATTCAAGATTTTTTTTTAGATGGAGTTTTGCTCTTGTTGCCTAGGCCAGAGTACAATGGCGTGATCTTGGCTCACCACAACCTCTGCCTCCTGGGTTCAAGCAATTCTCCTGCTTCAGCCTCCCAAGTAGTTGGGATTACAGGCATGAGCCACCATGCCCAGCTAATTTTGTATTTTTAGTACAGGCAGGGTTTCTCCATGTTGGTCAGGCTGGTCTTGAACTCCCGACCTCAGGTGATCCACCCTCAGCCTCCCAAAGTGCTGGGATTATAGATGTGAGCCACCGTGCCTGGCCAGTTCAAGATCTTTTACACTAAAACAGGGAATGGCATCACTTTAGGCTTGAGGGTGACTACAAACCATTGAATCCAATCTCATTTCCAGTGCAGGAACCCTTGCCCAAGGTGCCAGAGAGATGGTCCCCAGCATCTGCTCCATCACTGTCATGAAAAAAGGCTTCCAAGATAAAGCAGGGGTTGCCCAACACTGTTGGGTGTTGCAGGGTGGTCATGTAAGATTAACATGAAAAAGTGCTCAATGGGGTTTCGTTTGCTTTGAGACAGAATATCACTCTGTCGCCCAGGCTGGAGTGCAGTGGTGTGATCTCCACTCACTGCAACCCCCACTTCCTGAATTCAAGTAACTTTCCTGACTCAGCCTCTTGAATAGCTAGGATTACAGGCGTGCACCACCACACCTGGCTGATTTTTGTATTTTTAGTAGAGACAGGCTTTCACCATATTGGCCAGGCTGGTCTCGAACTCTTGACCTCAAGTGATCCTCCTGCCTCAGCCTCCTAAAGTGCTGGGATTGCAGGTGTGAGCCACCACATCTGGCCTCACTGGGATTTAAAGAAAGCAAAAAGAAAACAAGCCATTGGTAGTTGGTTAAGAACAGTCTCGGGGAGAAGATGCCAAAGAAACCAAATGAACTACTGTTGAGTCGAGAGTGAGAAAGAAGTGAACATGTGGGTCAGCGCACACAGCTCCTTTCCTGAGGTTTGGCTGTGAAAGGGAGTCAGTGTGTGGTAACTGGAGCAGAACGCGGAGTCACAAGGAATGTTTTATTTATAGGGAGGGAGGAACTTGAGCCCATCTAGGTGCAAATGGGAAGGAGTATAACAAGACTGAAGGTGTTAGATTGCAGTGGGGAGAAGTTACCCCGGGAAGAGAGGACAGGATTCAGAGACAAGGCATCATTCTTAGTGGGGAAGCTGGGAGGTTGCCTGGGGTGATGGGTCTTGATTTGGGTTGTGGGCAGCCGGTCAGCAGGTGCGTGACCTTACTCTGCAATAGCCTATTCCCACACCACCTCCAGGCTGGTCTGAGTAGGGTGAGCAAAATGGTCATGAAACAGAGGGTAGAGCCTGGATGTGGCCTTCCTGCCCTGGCATCTCCCCCTGGGGCCCCCACAGTGGCGTCACTATCTCTAGCATCTTCTGGGTGCCGGGGAGAGCCATGCCTACCTCACGTGGCTCTGACCTAAGCTGCTCTTTGATTGTGGTCCATTAAGTTGCATTTCAGTTGCCAGTTCCTTTTCTCACCCCTCCAGTTTCTTTTATCTGAATATTGTCTAGATTGGAAGGAGCGAGCTTTGGACTTTTTAAGTGCTGCCAGGTGTCAGTGAGAGCAGCTTTGCTGCAGAGCTGGGCTTACACAGACTAAGCCCTCCTTCCTACTCAAAGATGGAGAGCTTGTCCTTAAATAAAAACTACGCAAACAGTATTAGAAATTTAGCTTTCCAGGCCAGGCGCAGTGGCTCACATCTGTAATCCCAGCACTTTGGGAGGCTGAGGCGGGTGGATCACCTGAGGTCAGAAGTTCAAGACCAGCCTGGGCAACATGACGAAACCCTATCCTTACTAAAAGTACAAAATTAGCGGGGCGTGGTGGCACGTGCCTGTAATCCCAGCTACTTGGGAGGCTGAGGCAGGAGAATCACTTGAACCTGGGAGGTGGAGGTTGCAATGAGCCAAGATTGCTCCATTGCATTCCAGCCTGGGCAAGAGTGAAACTCTGCCTCAAAAAAAAAAAAAAAAAAAAAAAGGAAATTTAGCTTTCCAGATCCCAAGTCCACTCTTGTTGTAGAGAATCTCCTACTGGCAATTCTAACAGATGATCACCCAGCCTTGACTTGCATACTTCCAGGAACACAGTACTCACTACATTTTCAGACCAATCTCAGCGTTAGGCTAAGAACTTGCCTAGGTAATTTGTATCTTTTGGTCCTAGTTCATTAAAGCTGCCCTGAGAGCACCCAGGCCATTTCCCTCAGTGTTCATTTTTCCTGATGAGTAGGCCAAGGATAACCTCTGGATGAGGCCCGAAAGAGGTACATCTAGAAAAACAAGTGATGGTGGAGTTGAGCACAAACGGGAGACAGATGTCTGGAGAAAGTAGGAGAGCCTTGGGCTTGTTGTCAAAAGCTGGCCCACCTGGCTCTGCCCATTCAATCTGGGAGTTCGGGCCAGTTGCTTCTGAGCCTTAATCCATCCTCACTCAGCTGATATGAGTCTGGTGGACCTTATGATCATTGGCATGCAGGCATCGAGTAAAAAAGTAAATCACCATAAAAAGTAAAATCACCAGGAAGACTCTGCCTGAACCCAGTGTCTGATTACTTTGGATTCCAAAATCCAGCACTATTTATTCATTAAGGCTTGCTTTAGGAAGAAATGAAAGCAGCTTTCAACCATTCAGAAAATCCTGCAAAATAACTGAAGTTAAATGTAGGTACAGAAGCCAGGTGCAGTGGCTCATGTCTATGATCCCAGCACTTTGGGAGGTTAAGGTAGGTGGATCACTACAGGTCAGGAGTTCAGGACCAGCCTGGCCAACATGGTGAAACCCCATCTCTACTAAAAATACAAAAATTAGCTGGGCGTGGTGGCAGGCACCTATAATCCCAGCTACTCAGGAGGCTGAGGCAGGAGAATTACTTGAACCCAGGAGGTGGAGGTTACAGTGAGCAGAGATCATGCTGCTCACAGAGCAAGACTCCACCTCAAAAAAAAAAAAAAAAAAAAAAAAAAGGTAGGCACAGAAGAAGAAATAACAACCACAGCAGTAAGTTTCGTACACTCATATTTTTCTACAGCGCATTGGTTTACTTTTGACTACTAGGTTTACTTTTATTATTATTATTACTATTATTATTATTACTATTATTATTATCACTTGCAGTTTTCTCCAGGATGTTTATATTCTTGATAACTTATGACACTTTTTGGTACAGTGATTATACATAAATTCTGTAATAAAGGCATAAGTGTTACTGATTTTCTCAACATTTACAGATATATTTTGCTCATTTTTCATATCTTAAAACTTCTGTTGCTCTCATAGAAATTTTTATGTGGAAACAGCTCTTTGAACATTTTTCTTTTTTTTTTTTGAGACAGGATCTTGCTCTGTTGCCCAGGCTGGAGTGTGGTGATGTAATCATAGATCACTGAAGCCTTCAACTCCAGGGCTCAAGTAGTCCTCTCACCTCGACTTCCTGAGTAGCTGGGACAACAGGTGTGCACCACCATGCCTGGCCTCTTTAAATATCTGAATTAAAATTCCTTTCAGGTTTCCCTGAAGCCCCCCAAATCTGGTTAACAGTTGCTTACAGAAAGAGTACTTGTCTTTAAATACATTATTATTCCTTAAAAGGTACTAGCACATGGCCCGGCACGGTGACTCATGCCTGTAATTCCAGCACTTGAGAGGCCAAGACGGAAGGATCACCCGAGGTCAGGAGTTCGAGACCAGCCTGGCCAACGTAGTGAAACCCTGTCTCTACTAAAAATACAAAAATTAGCTGGGTATGGTGGTGCACTTCTGTAATGCCAGCTACTTGGGAGGCTGAGGCAGGAAAATCACTTGAACCTGGGAGGCAGAGGTTGCAGTGATCAGATATCGCACCACTGCACTCCAGCCTGGGCGACAAAGTGAGATTCTGTCTCTCAATAAATAAATAAATACATACATACATACATACATACATAAAGGAATAAAAGTTACTAACACAATTTAGTGGTCTAGGTACCAGTACAATTGGACATATTCAATAGAGATAGTGGTTTGGTGTTTTTAATAGAGGTAAAGTGATGAGTCAAATTCCCTTTTAATGTATCACACCCTTGTGGAAAATGCCTCAGGGTACAAGATGTAAAGGAAAGGGTTAATGTGCCCAGACATCCACAGGCGGTGGGTTGTAATGCCACTTAGGAGACCACCTGGCTGCCCTGTCCTTTTCCTCTCCCTACTCAGAGGGGCTTGCAGTGTTTCTACCCCTAATGCCCTCCCTGAAGCTTTGTACATTTGTATTAAGTTGTAGAAAAAGTCAATGCATAAACAGACAATAGCTTCCTTGTCCCACTGGCCCACCAAGCTCCAGAAAGATGCCTCAGCCCCAGGCTGCTTGGCAAGCCCAGCTTACCCTTCAGATGGGCAGCCATGGCTGGGATCCGCACGTCGTCATAGGACCTCCCGTCGGTGATGAGGATCATTAACTTTCTCTTGTTGGGTTTGGACTTCATGAAGAGCTGCTCCAGGGCAAAGTTGATGGCAGCCCCCGTGCTGGTGCCACCACTCCAGTAGCCCACCCTCTTGATGGCGTTGAGGATGTCGGGCTTGCTGCTGTACTTGTCAAACCCAAACTCCAGCCGCTGCTCATAGGTGTACTGCACGGCCCCGATGCGCGTGTCCGTGTCAGAAATCTCAAACTCTTTGCTGATGTTGGTCACAAACTGGAGCACGGTGCGGAAGTTGCCCGTCCCCACGCTGCTGGAGCCGTCAATGACAAAGCCAATGTCAGCCGAGTTCAAGCAGGTCTTGCTGCAGGCCAGGCGGTCGGTGTCACAGACCCGTTTCACGAGGGGCTGCAGGGTCTTGTGGAGGCCAAACCAGCTCTGCACGTGCAGCGAGTAGAAGCCGTTGGTTCTGCACACCGCCTGGAAGACAGAGGGGAGGGACCCGTGCCAGGTCAGGGTCAGATCCTCCAATGTCACCATTAGGCTTGATCCCCGGGGCAGATGAAAAAGCAAGCAGACCCTTGATTTCTGCTTTAGTTCTCCTATCACGTTTTCCCACCTCGGTTCACCCAGCGGACACCCACTGAAGCAAAGTCCCTGGGTTATCTCTGGACTCAGTCCCACTCCCTCAATTTCAGCTGGGTCCCTGCCTGCATTAGTGGAAAGCTGTCTGCTAAGCAAATTCACAGGGAGACATTAAATCTCTGGAATCAGCTTCACATGTATGCTTCTCCAGGCCCCTCCTTTGTGCTGGCAGCCAGCCATAAGATTGGCATTGGTGGGCACCATGGCATAAGAGGACTAAAGAAAGTTTTTATTCCGATTGCGAAAAGAGATGACATACACAATAAATCACTACAGACATGTTTCCAGAGAAGCCCGTTACCAGGTGGGAAGGGATCCCACAGTTGCTGAATGACCACATGTTGAGGGTCCCATCAGATGCTCTTGGAATGATTCTCTCATTCAATCCCCACCCTCACCTTGCAAGGTGAAATCATAACGCCCTGCCACAAAGAAACAAACTGAGGTATGAAGGAACTTCCTGAGTCCATGAGATTGGAACACAAATCTATCCACTTTCAGAAGCAGATAACCCTGCGTCCAGGTAAATGAATATTTATTTACCAGTGCCTAACAAGGCAGCTGCAAATACTCCTTGAGCAAACTGGTTGTTCAGCTCCTGGAAGTGGCTGGCATAGTGTTCCCAAGGTGTGGTGTTTCTTCCTTACCCCTGCCTCTGGGTCACAGAGTCAGACCAGATGACTACTGATGGCTTTGGATAATTAAAAGGTTATTTTAGAACAAGAGATGGCTTCAAACTTTCCTGGGAAATACTTTTCTTAAATTGATTTGTAAAAAACCTAAATGGACTCATGCCTGTAATCCCTGCACTTTGGGAGGCCGAGGTAGGCAGATCTTGAGATCAGGAGATCGAAACCACCCTGGCCAACATGGTGAAACCCCTCTCTACTAAAACACAAAAAATTAGCTGGGCATGTGGCACATGCCTGTGGGCCCAGACACTGGGGAGGCTGAAACAGGAGAATCCCTTGAACCCAGGAGGAGGAGGGTGCAGTGAACCGAGATCATACCACTGCACTCCAGCCTGGTGACAGAGCAAGACTCCGTCTCAAAACAAAAACAAACAACAAATCCACCTAAATGGGGTAACAAAACTTTCCATGGAGCCAGTGACATGTGAGGTAAGTGCTAAGCCTGAGCTGAATTCTGGCCAACAGATGGAGGGAGGGATTCCCACCAGGCAGTGAAGTCACAGCAGGAGATAGTGGCGGTGCTGGGGGTGGGTGGGAGACCAGTTGACTGGAACACAGGGCTGTGGGAGGTCATAATGGATGATAGATGGGCCAGGAGAGTGGGTGGGACTGCACCCCAGAAGGCTTTGAGAGCAATGGGTAGCAATGAAGGATTTGGAGCAAGGATCTCACAGGGCTGGAATCAGAAACGTGAGTTGGGCTTCACTGTGAAATCTAAACCAACCTGGGTTGAGCACTAGCAGGAAGAAGGACCAGATGCAGGGTACCAGCTTGAACTGGGGAGGGGGCATCGTGTGTGGGAAAGAGGAGAGAGAGAGATCTGTGATGTGGGAGCTGCTGAGGAGTTCTGCAATGACACTGCCCTCTGGGACGGGTACGTGGTCATTCATGTGAAGTCCAGAGGAGGAAACAGTTTGGTGTGAAGATGATGAATTTGGTTTGTCACAGGTGGATTTTAAGCTTCTGACAGGTCATCAGGTAGAGAAAAGTCAGTCAGCTGGAAAAGGATGGCTAAGAGCTCAAGAGATGGGGGCGGAAGCTGTGACCGTGGGAGGGATTCTGCAGGGAGAGGCCTTTTAAAGAGGAGGGTGCAGACCAGGGGAGGTCCACATTGAGGATAGAAAAAAGGCAAGAGGTCATGAAATAAGAGCCATGCCACATCCTGGAAGTCTAGGAGAAGGGCATTTCAAGGAGCAGGAAGTGGCCATCGGTTTGAGATGCTGCAGGAGGTTGAGCCCTGCTGGCTTTGAACACACAGAATATTAAAGCCGGAAGGGCCTCCGAGACAAACCTGTCCAAAGCTTTCTTTCTGCTGGAGCCTCTTCTTTGGAGGAAGGTTTATGCGGTGTTCCATTGCACCAGATGCACAAAAGCTGAGCAGCTTTGGTGGAGTGAGTGAGGGAGGCCTCAATCACATGTCTTGCTGGGCATCTCACAGAACCCAGGAGAAGCATCTGAAAACGCCACCTCACTGCTGTGGTTCTGCGCTTCCCTTCTATCGTTCATCAGGTTCATTAACTGGCAACGTGTATATACAGAAGAAAGCGTGTGTGTGTGTGTGTGTGTGTGTGTGTGAGAGAGAGAGAGAGAGAGAGAGAGAAAGAGAGAGAAAGAGAGAGAGAGGAGAGAGAGAGAGAGGAGAGAGAGAGCGAGCGAAAGGGCATATGTTCACTTGATTGAGTGTGAAGGCTCCCTGGGCTGCCTGGGTGAGACTCCCTTGGGGCTATGGGAGGAGCAAGGGAGAACCTAGCTAGAATTCAGGGGCACCGCCCCTCTACTCTCCTCCAAAGCTGCTGGCCTTGGGGGGATGTGGGGTTTTGCTCTGAGAGGGTAATTGCAGGTTCTGGATTGACCAGTCCCTCCCTGGAGGCTTCACTGACTAGAAATGAGCTTCACACACATTTAAAGGCATGGAAAACCCACTGCAACGGCATTATAACTTTTCAGAGTGCAGAAAAGCCTTACGTTGGGTGGGTCTCTGGGCATATACCTTGTTTGCAAAGTTGGGCTCCACCACATACTGCTTCTCATTTTCAACAGCACCTTCAATGGTGATGAAGAAAATGTTGATTCCTGACTCTCTCGCAAGTCTCGAAGCCTCCTCCACTTTGTCCGTGGGCCAGCCATCCACCATCACCACCACCACGTTGGGAGCACCGCTTCTGTTTCCATTGGCTTTGGAAAAGAAGTTCTTGGTCACAAAGGAGATGGCCCGGCCTGGAAGAAATGGAAAACTCATGATTGGAGCGATCGTGCTGATTATAAATACAGGAAGAGATCACAGCAGCACAACAAGGTTCAGAAAAACGAAAAACACACTCATTCCCTCCTTATTATTATTATTAAGACAGGGTCTCACTCTGTCACCCAGGCTGGAGTGCAGTGGTGTGATCATGGCTCACTATAGTCTCAACCTCCTGAACTTTATCCATCCTCCCACCTCAGCCTCCTGAGTAGATGGGACTACAGCCGTGCACTACCGTACCTGGTTATTTTGTATTTTTTTGTAGAGATGGGATTCGCTATGCTTCCTAGGCTGGTCTCAAACTCCTGGGCTCAGGTGATCTGCCCACCTCAGCTTCCCAAAGATTACAGGTGTGAGCCACTACGCCCAACCTGTTTCTTTTTTAAAAACACTTCAACTATTTTCAGGTGTAGAATTCAGTGTCATTAAGTACATTCATAATGTGCAGCCATGACCACTACCCATTCTGGTTTCATTTCAAGCCTTTAACTTCTAATTGTCTGCTTTGAAGAAAGTTTTAGAGACAGCAAGCCGGTGAGAAAGACTTTCATGAGAATAAAAGTGCCCCTTCTCTGCTGGACTCACACTAAGCCTCTAGGCCAGCCCCATGTTGTCTCCGGGAACATAGGGTGGGAGGAGTTGACCGGGAGTGACGGCAGCTTCTTCTTGGCCCTCTGCAGCCTGGGGTAAGCCTGGGCTCCTGCTGGCTGTGCAGAGCTGTGTTCTGGGGTCAGCAGTGTTCTCCCTCCAGCTGCAGGTCTGACTGGGCAGGGAAGAGTTGCACCCACTAGTAACTGTGTTCTAGCCCTGGCTGTGCTACTTGCTAGTTGTGTGGCCCTGAATAGGTCACCATACGTCTGTCAGCCCAGATTTCCATGATAGCAATCTACTTCAACTGAGTGCAGCAGTCATGAAGTGCTACAAAGCCTTCTGCCATGACTTTTCCAAAAGCATATTTCACATCGAGAAGGGCTTCGGGAAATTTTCAGAGTCAACTAGACAATGACCAGTTGACTCAGTTTGCCAGGTCTTTCCCAGTTTTAGCACTGAAAGCCCCAAGTTCTCCTGGGAAAACTGGGACAACTGTCCACCCTAGAGTCAGCATGGCTGCATATAGTAGGCAGAGCTCTTACCCTGGACTTTGTGAACTCCAGGGCACTTGAAATTATACATAGTATTTTGTGTATATAAGTATCTGTCTGGATAGAAGGGCCATAGTTTTCATGAGATTCTCAAAGGAGAGCTCAATCTCCATAAAAGTTAAGACGCTCCTTCTTTAGACTTCAGGATTAGTATTATTATACTCAGTGCATTTCTGATTTTGGCCAGCATCCTGTCTCCACTAGCTGGTATTATCTTACCTGTCAAATGAAAGCATCAAATGGTTACACATAGAGACGCTGGAGAAATGTCTTGAAAAACCCATGTGAACTGGCTGCACAGAACCCAGTTGCTAAGGGAAAACCTCGGCTGCTGAGAACTGCTTTTACAGCCAAAGGACAATTTTTCTCAGGGCCCAAAGCACCCAGAAGTCCTCTCTTGCCTAATATTAAGCACCTGTAGGCAGAGCACAGGATGCCATGAGCAGATCTCCTCAACCCTGCCTAACCTTCAATCTGGAGGCTGTGATGTATTAGTGCTCAACACACATTCCATCTACCTCCCAGTGGGTCTCGAAAATAGAGGCTGGAAATCAGAAAACTACATTTTCCAGACTCCCTTGCAGCTAAGCCTTTAGCTTGTGTTAGTTCCATGAATAGATGTACTTGCATGAGATTTAGAAGATAAAAGTGAGTCAGAGGCTGTAGTTTGTTTATATTTTTGCTGACAAACATATTTAGTATCTGACTACTCTGGGAGACTGTCACCAGAGGTGCTTGGGCTTGGTTGCTAGCTTCAATGTTGTGGGGTGACAGGGTTTGGAGATCAATGTTGTGGGTGTGAATGGGGCAGGGAGGGCATGGTTCTGGAGCTGGCAGCTCTAGTGGAAGCTTCCTGATCATGCTGGCTTCCTGGACAAAGCAAGTTTCTGAAGAGGCTGCCATGGCAGAATTCAGAAAGTGATTTCCTGATCTGGGAAGAAGGAGCAGCTCCCTTGGATGTCCTGCTCTGGAAGGACCTTCCTGCTTTGCAGGAAGCCTTCAGATACAACTCTTAAAGCTCAGCCCAAAGTCTGCTTCTTCAGTTCTTTTCGGTGATTCTCAAAACTGCTAAATATCCTGAAATAAATCCCTTTTAGTTGGAATAAGTTGAATGGGTTCTGTTCTCAGAACCCAAACTCTGGACAATACAGAGGCAGAGTTGGAACATGTCATTCACTGCAAAAGGCACCCTGATTGGATTGAGACACATCACTAATATAATCAAGGAACAAGAGGGCATTCTGACATTTGTCTCCACTGGAATTTTACTAATGTAAGCATTAAGTTAGAAACATATCAGAAATCAACTCTGTCATGCATGTGATGAAGGTAATACTGCTTTGAGGGCATGGAGAGTGACTTGGCTAGTGTTTATTTAGCATTGTTCAAAGGTGAAAAGCTCTGTATGTGCTAGATACTAATGTTCTGGTCACTACAGAGACATACACTGAAGTGGGAAGGGAAACCATTCATCAGATTTACTGTAACTCTGAGGATGCTCCCTTAAAGACAGTTCGATTCCCAGCATGTGCTCTAAGCCAAGCAACTGTGGCTCACATCTCCATTTCCTTGGATTTTGATGACACGAACAGTTCCCTGAGAAGTGGACAGTCTCCCCTCCAGTGCCCCCAAAGCCAGTCCTCCATTGACAAATGAATACACTAGCATGGGATCTTTCACAGTCTTTGAGCTTGGTTGGTGTGAAATTGTTTCCTAACACCCAATCACCTCTGGATAAACATAAAATAGAATTTCTGGACATGTCCCACTGAGGACCAGACCTTGGATCTCTGGTGCACCCCCAAAGGCTCAGATATCACAGGAGTCTCAGCTTGAAATAGAGAACATGTTTCTCTTTGCACAATCATCACTACAGCAGTAGTTGATTAGAACAAGATTCTCAAGGGGCACTGAGGAGCTTCCTTAACTGGTCACAAAATTCAGTGAAACAGCTGATGACTTGTAGGCCCACCCAAAACAGTCAGGACAGCAGTCTTTCTTGCCCTGAAGAATGCTACTCCTTCCCACAAACTAAGCATGCTGGAACTGTGCGGTGTATGTGTTTCACAGATGTTCTGGAGCCAGGATAATACTTTAGAAAAGATACAGATGCTGCAGGAGTCATTTCTTTTTCTTGTTTTTGTTTTGAGATGGAGTCTCACTCTGTCACCCAGGCTGGAGTGCAGTGGTGCCATCTTGGCTCACTGTAGCCTCTGCCTCTTCAAGTGATTCTCCCACTTCAGCCTCCCAAGCAGCTGGGATTATAGGTGACCGCCACCACATCCAGCTAATTTTTGTATTTTTAGTAGAGACAGGGTTTCACCATGTTGGCCAGGCTGATCTTGAACTCCTGACCTTATGTGATCTGCTAGCTTCAGCCTCCCAAAGTGCTGGAATAATAGGTGTGAATCACCACACCTGACCAGAAGTTATTTCTTGATGAATTAGTATTATTTTTTCCTCCTTATATATACAGTGTTAGAAGGCAATCATGTAGAAAGAGAATAATGGTCACAAGATAGAATAATTTGAATCTGGATCACTTACCTACATTAGAAAGCCCTCCTCTCTGGGGAATTTTCTCTATGGCTGTCTTCAGATCTTGAGAATTCATGTGTGTCTTGAGGTTAAAGTGGGTAGCAGGGTTGTCTCTGAAGAGTCAGAACAAGAAATACAAATTAGCTGGAAAGTTATTACCTTTGGAGGAAGGCAGAGATCATGGTTGATTCTTTAATATACAAATAGAAGAGAAGCTGCTTCGAAGCCTTCTGCTATGGTTTGTAAAATGTCCCATTGTGGACTGGTGTGTGTAGAGAAAAGCAGGCTATTTCAAGGCTCAGAAGGCGTGTGTTGACGGTGCCATTTCCTAGCTGTGTGATCTTGAGGAGACAACTTCTTTGGGCTTTGGATTCCTCATGTAGATGAAAACATCATTATAACACCCATATTGCTAATGAACAGGACTGTTGTCAAGTGGGATTTTGCAAATGTAAGGATCCCATCTGTGGCATGCTCAGTGTTCTCAGCCTACTCCAGACCCTCCTCGCCAGGAAGAGAATCTCAGCTGTCAGCCACTCCCTGGGTTACCCTGAGTACTGGAATTGCATGTGAACAGTGGTACCAAGGAGACCTCTCTTTCTTTCTCATCCTGCAACTGGGTGATACTACTCAAACTCACCTAGAAGGTCAACATCTATTTTACTGAAGACTAAAAAAGATTAACTGGGGAGGAGGTGGAGTGAATTCAGTGGAGAAACACAATGAGAATCCCTCTCTAGAAATGAATCTCTACGAAGCGGCTGAGCGGAGGGTGTGGAGGCGTGCCGGAGGGTGGGTGTGTGTGCATCGCACCCAAGACGAAGTGTGAGATCACATCTCGCAAAGCGCTGACACTCAGCCACAGGCAGTGCTCACTTTGTGGGCACGAGACCTGTGCAGTCACAGGGCTCCATGCTCCAGAAGAGCCTCAGTCAGAAAGGCCCACGCTTGGTACAATGCTCTGCTGCTGCCGTCTTGAAATTCTTCATCATTTTTAAATGAGCTGCCCTGCACAGCATGTAGTCAGTCCAGGCTAGAGGATACTGTTTTCTTTTTTGAGACAGAGTCTGGCTCTGTCTCCCAGGCTGGAGTGCACTGGTGTAATCTTGCCTCACCACAACCTCTGCCTCCATAGTTCAAGCAATTCTCCTGCCTCAGCCTCCCAAGTAGCTGGGACTACAGTTTTGTGCCACCATGCCCAGCTAATTTTTGTATTTTTAGTAGGGATGGGGTGTCGCCATGTTGGCCAGGCTGGTCTCAAACTCCTGACCTCAGGTGATCCATCCACCTTAGCCTCCCAAAGTGTTGGAGTTACGGTGTAAGCCACCACGCCTGGCTGTAGAGGTTACTAAGTTTTCAAGGATAATGTATTTTTTTTTTTTTTTCCAGAGACAGGGTTTTGTTCTGCTGCTGTCTGGAGTTCAGTGGCCCCATCTTGGCTCACTGCAGTCTCAACTTCCTGGGCTCAAGCGATCCTCCCACCTTAGCCTCCTAAGTAGCTGGGACCACAGATGCACGCCACCACACCCAGCTAATTTTTTCATTTTTTGGTAAAGACTGCTATGACTGCTATGTTGCCCTTGTTGCCCTGGCTAGCCTTTTTTTTTTTTTTTTTTTGAGACGGACCTTCCCTCTTGTTACCCAGGCTGGAGTGCAATGGCGCGATCTTGGCTCACCGCAACCTCTGCCTCCTGGGTTCAGGCAATTCTCCTGCCTCAGCCTCCTGAGTAGCTGGGATTATAGGCATGCGCCACCATGCCCAGCTGATTTTTTGTATTTTTAGTAGAGACGGGGTTTCACCATGTTGACCAGGATGGTCTCGATCTCTTGACCTCGTGATCCACCTGCCTCGGCCTCCCAAAGTGCTGAGATTACAGGCTTGAGCCGCCGCGCCCGGCCACTGGCTAGTCTTATACTCGTGGACTCGAGCAGCTTATTTTCCTGTTTTGGCCTCCCAAGTGCCAAGATGATAGTGTGAGCCACCATGCCTGGCCAAGGAAACTTTTCAGAGTAGCCTTTCTACAAACACCAGAAGTGGATCCGGGAAGAAGCAGTTGTGGGCAGTTTCAGGTGGGAACCTCGCGGTGACTGATCATGGGTGGATTCTTAGTGAGTCCTTGGGGACCGGAACAAGTGGTGCGGTCAGCAGGAAACCAGTGACCGGGACCTGGGAGAGAAGAGAAAGTGTCTGCTTCCCTCTTTCCTTTCCTCCATCCCTATTCTCCAAACTCCTATTTCGGAATGATCTATGTTATACCCAGAAGGTGGTTTATCTAAAAGACAAGAGATGAAAAACAGAGTGGCCACCTTCAGGGAAGACAGGAAATTTCAAACAAGTTTAACCAAAGTGGGGCACAGGGGCAAAACCCAAACAGATGAAATTTCACCAGAAGAAAACCAAGTTCTATGGTTGGGACTAAACAGAAACAAACAACAACACAGCAATCAGCAGAATGGGGAAATGTGGGTGCTGAGCTGGGCGTGATCTTCCTATCAACCTGCAGTGTGAAGTGTCTTGATCCGAGGCTGCAGCCACAAATTTAGCGAGGAGGAGCCACACAGAGAAGGAACACTGTGGCTTTCACTCTGTATTCTTTCCCTTAGGTTCTAGGGCTTATGGGTTTGTTTGTTTTTTTAATTTGATTGATTGATTGATTGATTGATTGATGGAGTCTTGTTCTGTCGCCCAGGCTGGAGGGCAATGGGACGATCTTGGCTCACTGCAACCTCTGCCTCCTGGGTTTAGGCAATTCTCCTGCCGCAGCTTCCAGAGTAGCCGGGAATATAGGCACCTGTCACCATGCCCGGCTAATTGTTTTTCGTATTTTCAGCAGAGACAGGGTTTCACGTTGGCCAAGCTGGTCTCGAACTCCTTGTGCTCTGTCTGCCTTGGCCTCCTAAAGTGCTGGGATGGCAGGCGTGAGGCACCGTGCCCGTCCAGGCTAAGCAATTTCAGTAAATGCTACATACACTTTTACTTATCCAGCCCATCAGCCCCCACTCCTCGGGTCCTGTTCATTCTTCTGTATACACTCATTCCCTCCTTTGTATGTCTACTGTGACACCCGGAGTCCTGGCTCCCTAGCTTCTGGCTGCCCCGAACCATTCCTGTGTTAAGTCTGTGTTAACCATTCCTGTGTTAACTGGCAGTGCCAGTTGTGTGGCTGTCTGCTAGAGGACACTTCCTCATGGTCAGTCTCAGCTCTGCCTGCAAAATTCCCCTGCTTGGAAATCATCAGAAGTTCTCATTGCTACACTTGGTATTTTGGCTTTCAAAGCATCCATAATTGAATTTCCAACTATCATGTTAAGGCTGGTCTCTTTCTTATTCTCTCTTTCCCTCTCTTTTTCAGGATATTCCACGTTCTAATCAAAATGAACTGTTCCCCTTTTCCCAGTTTTCTAGCTCTGTGCTTTTGCTCACTTCTTCCCTCATCTGGAAAGCCCCAATCATGCCCACCCTCCAGGCTCAACCACCTGTCTCCCTCACTCCCAGCCCCAGCTGACAATCTCTCTGCCTGACTCAGCTTTCTCTAACCCACATCTTGCATAATATATGGCGCCTACAGGTACTCAATTAACAGCATTAACATTTCTTTGTTCTATTTCTGTGCACCTCTAAACCTCTAAACTTTGGTGTTCCCTAGGGTGCTAGCCCCACCGCGCATCACTTCTCAGCATATGCACGTCCCTGAGAGATTTCATCAACTCCCAGGGCTCAGAGACAATTCATGTCCCAAACCTGTCTGTGCAGGGGTCGGTCCCCTTTCTTGAATCTCACATATACATAAAATGGCTTCCATACAGCTTCCTCTGGAAGGCACCTCAGGTTAGATATTTCCAAACCTGAAGTTGTTTCTCTTCCAAGTCTGATGCACCCAACCACCCATCTCCCCATCTGCCTTCCTCTCTGACTCACTCAGTCATTCAGCAGTGTGCGTTCCTGACACGCTCCTCATCAAATACCACGTCCTGTCAGACCTACATCTAAATATCTCCCTTAGTTCTCCCATCCTTTCCATCCCCAAGTTTGGGCTTTCATCTCTTTCCTGAATATTGCCAGAGTTTTCTACCTGGTCTTCCTTTACCCAGGGCAGCTTCTGCAGTGGATATTTTATCCAATTGGTTCTAAGTGTTTCACAGAAGCAGATTAACTAAGAAGTTGTAATGCCTCTTCCAAGAGGTCTAATTTTGTACAGTATTTGTCATTTTGTAATCTTCATCTTAAGAGGGCCCCCAAACTGGATAAGCTTCAGCATTCTTAAATCTGGATCCTCCCCTAGTGACCAAGGATTATGAACTTTTTCAGAGCCTAAAAAAAATGAGTTGAAACAAAAAAGTATTGGCTACAAAATGAAAAATTGCAAAACTGACATTGACAATAATAAATATGTAATTATCCATCAAACATAATGTTATTTGTAATTTTTTAATATTAATTGTAATGTAACTTATTGTTAAATTTTCGATTTATAAAAACCGAATTACATTTGAAAATGATTTGTTAAAAAAATACAAAAAATATACAAAGAAAAGAGATTTGTGTGCTAGATTTTCTCACTTTGCACAATTTCCTGTGTGTCTGATGATTGTCAAGAAATCATAGCCAATCATAAATTAAATGTTGCTTATCAACAAATAATTTAAAGAGCAAAAATATAAAGGTTCCTTTCAGATGTTTTTACAGGCCAGGCATGGTGGCTCATGCCTGTAATCCTAGCACTTTGAGAGGCCAAGATAGGAGGATCCCTTAAGCCTAGGAATTCGAGACCCACCTGGGGAACATAGAGAGACCTTGTCTTTTATCAAAAACAAACAAACAAACAAAAAAAACACAAAAAACCCTAAAACTAAAATAAAATAAAATAAAAATAAAAAGTTTGTACAGAAAAAACGTATTTAATATGAAACCTATTCATTTAGTCATTTTCATGATATTCTTAATATTGATCGTTAAGGTGCTGTCTTGATGTTGATCATTTCCCAGAGCAATTGTCTATTCCCTGTCTCTTTCCTATGCCACATACACAGCTGAGTCTTGTTATTCTTGGCAGTCATGTTCTATAAAGCTGTAGTTGCCACGAGCACTGAATTAGCAAGTACTGAGCCATTG